GCTGACTCACCCAACTTTGGTATCAGGCTCATTGCATTATTGTCATACATCATCTTGTTAATTACCTTTTTCTTTGTATATATCTTTCTCACCATCGTAACTTTCTTTTGAAAGATCCTTGGCTTTGGAAGTTGTAACTTTTCTCTTGAAAGGTTTTGGCTTTGGATTTTTTTATAACTCCTGAGACATTTTGCATTTTTCATTTTTCGTGAGTTAGGCTTGGCTGTTGCCCATTTTGAGGTGGATTTAAGTGCATGAATATATAATTTGAATTCAGCATGGGATGGAGGGATTCACAGAAAAAGTGATAGCTGAGCTGGGTTTGAATCAAGAGCAGAAGTTTGGTAAGGGGAGAAGATGGGATAGTCAGTCCATGGAGAGGCACCATCCTAAACAGAAGTGTTAAAATAGAAAAGAACATAATATATTTGGGAAGGCAGAGAACTGCGGGGAGGGGTTAGGAGAGAGGTGATGCGAGATGGGCCCAGACAGTAATCATCATAATGATAATGGCCAGGTTGAAGCCAGGTTGTTAAGTGGCCTGAGAGCCCTGCTGAGGAGTTAAAACTGGATTCCAGGACATAAGGAGCTATCGAACCATTTTCAAGAAAAGAATGGAATGGAAAGTTTTAGGTTTTATGATGCCTGTAGTAGCACAAACCTCTCAGCTTATCTGCCCGCCTGCCTTGAATTATTTCTGGTATTCAGTCTTTGTTTCTATGGATGGGAGTTTGAGACATGGAATTGTTCCATTCATTCTGAGAAGTTTCTGGTTGGGGTTTATGACCCACTCCATGTTTTCTTTGAAGAATGATATTGGGGCTTAAGTTTCTCCCTGAAACATCTTTTCTCTCTGGGCGATCAGCCTGTGCCTAATTTGAAGTCGTGAACACAGAGTGAGGTATGGCTTTGCACTTGTGTGGGCAGTTGTGCTGGAAAACAGGATTGTGAGTACTTGGAACATGCAGGCAGGCTCATCTATCGAGCTGGGAATTAGGGAGCTCTGTTTCTCTTCTTTTGTTCCCTGAACGCAGTAGACAGTCCAGATGGAATCCCTTTGTAATCAATAATTAAATATGTGGGTGATCTTCTCTAGTTTTCTGGTTGTCCCTGTTTCTCCTGTTGCTCCTAGATCCTGCTCTCTTTGCAGTAGCTGCCTCATTTCCCCACAAGTTCCCTTGGTGTCTCAAAGCAGCAGAAACCTTGCAGCTTCCTGGACGTGCTTTCTCGGGCATCCCAGTGGGTGGGAAGGGGTGCAAGCTGCTTCTCTCTGCCCTGACCGGCAGGGCAGCCGCTGCCTTGAATCTTGGACTTCACTCGTCCGCCTCCACCACTGAGACCTGCAGCTGTGAGCTTTGAGTAGTAGCCTACTCCCAAGAAATGCTGTGGTTTTATGAAGTAATAGATGATTAAGGCAAAAAAAAAAAAAAAAAAAAAGGAGCTGTTCTTTGTGGTTGCTTTCAAGCTGGGGGATTTCTTAGCTGTAAGGATTGCTGTTGGAATGTAGAAGAAGCCTTTTGTGCCAAGTCATACACCCTGCATCACTGCTGATTTCTTTTTTTCTGGAAAAGACTCATTTTTGTGAGTTGCTTGGTAACTGGGGGATAGAAAGACTTAAGTCATTCAGCACAGGGCGCTCCTGGGCTGAACCTGTATTAAGCTGTCACATAAGGAGACAGAATGAAGTCGGGACGTGTTGAGGGCCTGCTCTGTGCCCTGTCCCTAACCTGTGCAGCTAGTGTGAGTGGAGGGTGTTGGGTACATGGAAGTCAAGTGGGTGCTTCAGGGGAGTAACTGCATTATGTTGGGCCAAGTCCTCATGGTCTGACGCTCAGCCCCTCTACCCATAGTGTGAGAATATTATACACTGCCCGCACACCCCTGGACCACCCTGAGAACCAAATGGTTGCGAGAATAGAATTCATTCAGAAAGATGGAGGTCTGTAACCTGGACTATGCCAGCTGGGGAGGAGGAGGAACAGAGATTTTCCAGCAGAACTGGATTAAAACTCCATTTATAGGGGCTGATAGACTCATAGCCAATCTGGCATTTGATGACAGAGCACTTGTGATCTTGGGGCCCAACACAGGACCTTCATGGGGTGTCGGCATCTCGGAGTAAGGGGATAGGCATTCCCTCTCATTCAAATGCTGCTCCTGCTTTTTGCTGGCCCAGCTCCAGACCTTGCTTTTGTTGAGAAAGCAGGGAATACTGCTGGCCTCTCTTCTGAGACCGTGTGCCTTCTTAAGGATTCCTCCTGCTCTGACAACACAAGTGTTTCTGGTTCCTCCTCCCATGGAGAGATTGGGTAGGCCTCTACCTTTGATAGTTGAAGGTGGTGTGGTCTCAAGAAGAAGTGACTCTCGCTGGGCCCCCACTTCTCTTACCACACTGTCTGTTTTTGGCAGGAGGCTCTAAGTTCTCTTTGAGACATTCCACTTGGGTTCCATTGTCTACAGTGGCTGTTGGTGTGGCTGCAGGCCGAGAGCTCTCTATACAAGGTCTTTAATGACCGTATACAAGATCTAACAGAAGCATTTTTTTTTCTCTGAGTTTGGAAAGATTGTTGAGCTTTGGCTTGAAGCACCGGCTGTTGCTGCAGGGGTTTGGCAGGTCATGGCTGGTGACAGGCCTGGGTTTTCTGCAGCCTGTAGAAGGAGGCTGCCTTGTCTCCTTCTCTGACCCCTCATCTCTGAAACCACAGAACACATGAAAATAGATTTGGGGGACTATCTGACAGGCATGCTGGTAGTTTGACTCCCTGGTTTCGAAGGCTACCATTTTCTACTTGCAACGTGTTAGTGTATAGAGTTTACTAGTCTACTGCTAGTTCAGAGCTACATCAGGTATAGTTAGTATACTTCATCTTTTGCTTTATTTAACATCGAGATGTATGGACATTTTAAGAGAAGTTTAGGACAAGTCCCTTTCTAGATATAAGCTTTTACCTAAAGGCTTAGGAATTTGAAACAAGCAAAAGAATGGCATTAATATTGTGCCTTTCACATCTGAGTCCTTTTGATATTGTAATAGGATCCTGTGCCTGGGGTGGTGCTCACATTACCTGCTATGTGTAGATTTTCTGTGTCCACATAGTAGTCACAGAGAAGCAGTGTAGGAAGAACTCACGTAATGAAGGGTGAACAGAGGGGAAGGCCAGCCGCCTGTCTGCAAGGCAGATATAACAGCACCTGGGACTTTGCTGCCATTGTAAGGAGATAACGTGTGTGGGGTCCTTCAGCAGCTCTGAGATACTCCTCCCATAAGAGACTCAGAGGTGTGCAACCTGTGGCTTGTGGGCCACATATGGATTATTTGAGGCCTGTTTCGTTTATCAGTGGTGTCAGGTGTCATGAAAATTAGTCACAGACCTTTCTTTTTTGCTTATCAGCTTTTGTTAGTTTTGTTTTATTTGGCTGGGGCTGGGTTTGAACCCGCCACCTCTGGCATATGGGGCTGACGCCCTACCCTTTTGAGCCACAGGCATTGCCCCAGCTTTTGTTAGTTTTTGTACAACTAGCTGTTGTTAGTTTTTGATAATGTGTGGCCCAAGGCAACTCTTCTTTTTCTTCCCACATGCAGGGGAGAGGTGAAAGGTTGGACAGCCCCGCATGGTGAAGTCAAGCGGTTTGTGTAGTAGTTCACCAAGTAATGACTGAGCGCCTGCGATGGGTCCCCCTGCAGTGGGTCCTAAAATGTGCCTCTTTGAAACTTGTGCATTGTTGCCCTTGGGTTCCCACTGATACCCTTGTGTTATGACAGGTTGTTTTTCCTTGGAGTTCCTTGGAGAGGGCATGGATGGAACTGGACGTGGAGTGCCTGGGTGGTGGGAGAGCTTTCTTGCTAGTGCTCTGTCGTCTCTTCTCTTCTTGAAGTTTCACTTCTCCAGGGCTTGTCAGAAAGTGCAAACTTCATAGTGTCCAGGTTGATCTCAGAGCCACTTCCCTTTACAGGCAGAAGTTAAACGGGTTCACTTGGGCCCTGATTCTAAATTCCTGGGAGAAGGAAGCTGATTGGCTCAGCCAGGTCCCAGCTCCACACCTGGCGCAGTCCAGCGTTCATAGTAAGAGGACTAGAGTTCAGCTGTGTCTGCACAGCAGCTGAGGGCCCCCTCACGTGGCGTGGAGGAGTTACAGCCTATGACTGTCGGATGTGGGAGCAGGACAGATCGGATCCTTGACCCCATAGAGCTCACACTCGAGCGGGAAGGAAGACATGGCATGAATAATTGTGCAGTGGACCAGGTTGTGTGACCACCACACCTAAGCTTGAGCCGGAGATCCTGGAACCCCCCCCTCCCCCAGGAATGGTCTGCAGGGTTGACAAAAGTGGGCAGGAGGAATGGATGCTGGGAGGAACAGGGTGGTGAGTGAGGAACAAATAATCAGAAGTGGCAAAAGGAAGGAAAAACCCAGCAGCAAGAAAAAATCTGACCATTTGGCAACGCAGAGAAACAGATCTGTAACAATTAGATAATGATGGTTTGACTATGTGGCCGTTCTTTCTGGCTTAGACTGGAAGTTCTTTGGGGCCAGGGAACATATTTTGTCTACTGCCTCTGGAACCATTTGGCATGTGGGCAATTCAACATGGCGAGGCCGTGTGTAGTTTCATTGGGTCATTTCTTAGTGTAGTTTCCCCCCCAAGTTTACAGCTGCTCAGTGTTGAAATTTTATTACACGGCTTGAAGTGTATCCTTTCCCTACTCCCTGGGAAGATGGGTTGCAGACCCTCTCAGACTGTGCTCTCCTTCCAGTTTGTCCAACAGGGAAAAAAAGGGAAAATGATGGTCATTTTTTGAAAGATTAATACTGGCCAGTATCCCTGTCCTGTATAAGTTCTGTTATGTCACTCTCCACACCCTGCAAGCCCCCAGACAGATGTTTTAATGGGCTTTGTTGGCTATGCTTTTGTTTTGAAAATTTTAAGACATTTTTGAAAGAGGAGAGGGGTAGGAAAAAATCCCTTCATTGATTCTAATGTATATTTAATTTGGCAGAACTTGAGAGAGACTTGCTGGGATAAGGCGGGACATTTCTTTGATCTCCCGGACTTCTTATCGTGGAAAGCAACAGGTGTCACAGCACGGTATGTTAATTACAAGTTGGATTTTATTTGCGATCTTCCATTCTCGGGTGTCTGTATATATATATATGGCTTTCTTAACTCTCTTTGACCGGACACACTGTTTGTACATCTGCATGTGATTTTGCCTACTTGAAACATCTTGAATCTATCTTCCACCTCCTTGGCACTTGCCCAGACGCTGTTCCTTAGAGGCCTGGAATGTGAGTATCCTAGGGAAGACCATTCATTAAAATTGGACACGTTTGAAGGAGATGTGAAGAAGACCATTCATTAAAATTGGACACGTTTGAAGGAGATGTGAAGAATCTAGAGTGAAATGGGACTTTTACCAAAGGCTTTATTCACCTTTATTCACCTTTATTCACCTTTATTATTCACCTTTATTCACCTTTATTCACTTATTCACCTAAAGGGAAAAAGTACATGTATGTACCCACAGAGCCCTGTGTTGCTTGATAACAGGAATATGACCTGAGACGTGCATCCTCGGTGATTCCACTGTTGTTCACCCATCATAGAGTGAAGGTACTTGCACAGAACTAGCTGGTGGTGGTAGAGCCTACTATACGCAAGGCTGTATGGCATACAGATCGCTGCTCCTAGGTTGCAAACTACAGCGTGTTGCGGTGCTGATAAGCTGTAGGCAGATGTAACACAATGGTATTTGTGTATCTAAACATATCTCAACATAGCAAGGTGTAAGAACAATATGGTATAAAACATAAACAGTACAGCTGTATGGGGCACTTAGATGAATGGAGCTCGCATGGCTGGAGGTGGTTCTGGGTGAGTCAGTGAGTGAGAGGTGAGTGAATGTGAAGACCTAGGGCCTTTATACACGACTTAGACTTTATAATTGTACACCAGTGTGCGTGGTGGCTCACACCTGTAATCCTAACACTCTGGGAGGCCAAGCTGAGTGTATTGCAGAGCTTATGAATTCAGGACCAGCCTGAGCAAGAGTGAGACAAAATACTAAAAATAGAAAAAACTAGCCAAGCACTCCAATTTGTACAAATAATCAACACATTGAATCCCATAATGGCATAAATGTATTCACATCTATGTGAATAAAAATAAATAAATAAATAAATAATAAATAACAAAAATTAAAAATAAAATAGCCAGCTGTGGCGTGCACCTATAGTCCCAGCTACTCAGGAGGCTGAGGCAAGAGGATCACTTGAACCCAAGAGTTTGAAGTTGCTGTGAGCTGTGATGATGCCATACCACTCTACCAAGGGTGACAGAGTAAGACTCTGTCTCAAAATAAAAAAAAATAATAATAATAATAATAAAAAGACTTGGTGCCCATAGTACAGTGGTTACAGTGCCAACCACATACACCAAGGCTGGTGGGTTCGAACCCAGCCTGGGCCAGCTAAACAACAATGACAGCTGCCACAAAAAATAGCCAGGCATTGTGGTAGGCACCTATAGTCCCAGCTACTTGGGAGGCTGAGGCAAGAGAATGGCTTAAGCCCAAGGGTTTGAGTTTGCTGTGAGCTGTGATGCCATGGCACTCTACTGAGGGTGATACAGTGAGACTCTGGCCCAAAACATTATATGCTTACACTGTACTAAATTTATTAAAACATTTTTTCAATAATAAATTAACCTTAGCTCACCGTAACTTTTTTAATTTATAAACTTGAAATTTTAACTTTTTTACTCTTTTGTAATATTTAAAACACAAATACATTGTATACCTGTACAAAAATATTTTTATGCCCTTATTCTATACGCTTTTCTCTATTAAAGTTTTTTTCTTTTACTTTTTGAACTTTTTAGTTAAAAACTAAGGCATAAACGTACACATTGGAGGCTCCATGGAGATCATTGAGGTGTCACTAGGTGACAGTAATTTCTCAGCTTCGTACTGATCTTGGGAAACCACGATCGCACTCTGTCATTGACCAACATCTTTATACAGGCCTGTGTGTGTGTGTGTGTGTGTATGTGTATGTATTTGGTCCCTAATATTAAGATAGGAGAGGGCGGCACCTGGTGCTCAAAGGAGTAAGGCGCCGGCCCCATATGCCAGAGGTGGTGGGTTCAAACCCAGCCTCGGCCAAAAAAAAAAAAAAAAAGGATAGGAGATGTGTTTTTCAAGGTAGCTGATGTTAACTGGATGGGTGTGTTATAGGTTTGTTTTGCTTTTTATATAAATGTACCCTAATCTCATACTGTAGAGGTGTGTATGTGGAAGTCAACAACTATTCTTCAATAAATTATGAATGTTAAAAATAAAGCGTGTGCTACATAACAGAGACTTTTCAGAACGCTCACGGGGTGTGAAGTTGCGGCTGCAGTGATTAGCTGAGTGGGCGTGTGCATGGATATATACAGACCAGTTGAGCAGGTGTCTCTAAGGATGGCAAGTCTCTTATCCTGACCTCAGGTTTCAGGGGACGCAAGGAGGGTGTGGGGGCAGGTCTTCTCATCTTAAAAAAGTTTAAGGCCTGGATTGAATAAACCGATGAGGAAGGGGATTGTTTTCCTGAGGACAGATCAGACGGTGTCAATTAGAGCAGCAGCTGCTGTATTTTAAAGTCAGCTCCCGGGAGATGGGAAGCATGTCCACCCATTTTCCTCTTCATTTAGATGCAGGGGACGCTGGGAATAGCAGTCCCATTTCCTCTGGGCTCCTCCTGTCTGGGTCTTTTTACAGATTGGGGCCTTTTCTTGTAGGCAGTTGACAGGAGTCAACTCTTGAACTTCTGTGCTAGTTCAGCTGCAGGGGCTTCCAGCAAGGGGTCAGCAGAGAACGTGTTTCACAAGCTCAACACGCATCATGTCAGCCCTGCCCCCACCCCACTTAGCTCTACCTGAGCCGGGGCTGACCTCAGAAAGCCCACGCTGCTTAGTGTCTAAGTACAGCACGGGACACTCGGAAACGGGGTGTAGCATATCCAGAGCCAACAGAACAGATTAGGGAGCACGTCAAAACCCTGGGTGGAACAACACCCAGTGAAAAAGAGAAGGAAAGTCAGATTCTCCTTCAGCTCTAGTTCCACTTTGGGGTCCTCAAGGTTGGCAAGCCAGTGGAGGATTCCCGGTGCACACATCGAGTACCATTGCCCTGACTGATGGGTCTGTTTGACTAAAATGATCAAAACATTTCTTTCCCTACTGCACAAAGGGAGAAAAAGAACCTAGAGAAAGGTTCTCTGACAAAGAACTTTGGACAATGAATTCTGTACCAAAGGAAGAATGCCCAAGACGGTATGTTCACCCACATCCCGTCCTCCCCATCTCCCCATCAGTGATAACCATGGTGGTAACTGATTACACCTCCTAGGGTAAAGTTCAGACCGTTTCTCTGGAGGTCTCTCTGGCAGAGTCGAGCGAGTACCTGAGGTTGGCAGAAGCCAGTTTCATAGGCACGTGGACCCCCTACCCTGAGACCTTCCACTAATGCTCTCATCATGGGAGGAAGGTGTGGGAGGGGCTGACATGAAGAACAGTGGCTCAGAGCCAGGTGCATGGCATGTATACACACTGTGGAGCCACAATTCTGCCACACACGGGTTACTACGAAAGTTTCGAGACAGACTGTGTTACAGCCCATTATTTGACTTCTGAGAAACACAGTTGACAGCGTCCTTTCTGATTCATTCCTGTAAGTTTCAACTTGCTTGGCTTTTCGGTATTGCTGGGAGGGCATTATTTGTTTTGTGTCCTGAGGGATTTTACCTTTCTTGATTTTCATGTATCTCAGAACTTCCGTAATGACCCCAGTACTAATTGTGTGACCTGGAGGATGTGTCATCCTTTCTTTGAGTCTCGCTCTCCTTCTCTACATAGAATGGGGATCATGATGTCTAATCTTACAAGGTGGTTGTGAGAGTCCTATTAAAATAGTTTTTCCGAACAAGGATTAAAAGAATCATCTGAGTCATTTATTCAAAACACATATTTCTAGGACTTGTGGTTTTTAGCTTGTTGAATCAGAATCTCCCTGGGAGACCGGGGAATCTGTATGTTTAATAGGTGTACTGGGTGGTTATATGCTCAAGTTAAGTTTGGACAACATCACCTAAAAGAATATGCATGAAAATAGTGGATGACACTGAGGTGCTCCACACCTGTGAGGGATGGAAAGTGTTTTATTATTTATTTATTTATTTTTGCAGTTTTGGGCCAGCGCTGGGTTTGAACCCGCCAGCTCCGGCATATGGGGCCAGTGCCCTACTCCTTTGAGCCACAGGCGCCACTCCAGGATGGAAAGTGTTTTAAAGACTTAATGAATGTGTTGACTTCAAAAGTGGAGGGTTGCTTTTTGACTTATCCTAACACGTCCAGGGGCTCCCATCCCTGCCTGTGACAACCTCAGACCTTGAGGAAGTGAAAGTTTAATGCTCAGAACTGATTTATTGGCGGTGTAGTCATCCCTGCCATCTTTTATTGGCTCTGACACTCATGACTCATTGTATTTTCATTAGTATAAATTGATAATCTGCTTCCCCCGCCACCCGCCCTCCCGAGGTCTGCCTTGCAGCCTCCCTCTCGTCCAGAGAGCAAAGCCTGTGACCCGGAGCACCAGGTACCAGCTTCCTCTAGAGCGGGCTGCCCTCCCCCGGCCCACGTGCAGCTTCTGTCTGTCTCTCCCTTCTCGTTTTCAAACTGCAGCATATGCAGGTGAAACAAGGAGCTCCTCTGGGCTTTCTTGGTTGTAAATGGAGGTACTGACAGCACCTGCTCCGTGGGGTATGAATTGAGTGACATAACAGAAAAGCTGCTCACACAATGGTGAGATTTTTTTTTTTTTTCTTGAGATATTAGCTATTTAGTTTCCTTTCTCTGTCAGTTTTGGTAGGGAATGTTTACATTACGTTTCTGGTGTAGTAGAAAAAGGGACATCTTTGTGGTCGGCGACTGGCCTGACTTCGGTGTCTCCACCGTGTCCCGTCACGGGAACCTGGAGCAAATTGTTTACCTCCCGCAGCTGCCTGTCTCCTCATCTTTGAGCCCTGGCAGGGTTGTTGAAAGAGTTAGAG